TATTTGAAATAAAAAATTAAATTAATTAAACAATATTTGAATTAATCTTAAATACTTTAATTAACAGCATTAAATAGTATTGTTGTGTGCTTATAATGATAAATTAAAAATATATTTTTTTTAAATAAAAATTATCAAATTTTTATAAGCATTATTACGTGATAATAAAAATTATAATTTGTTATTTTAAATAATTTTTGCTTATATATATAAGACTTAAGGCAACAAAATACTTGCTCAATTGAAAATTTAAAATGTTATTGATAATTTTTCATATTTTTTTAAAAAATTTTATTAAAAAAAGTATTTAAAATAATATATAGTTTTTTAGTTTTATTTTTTATTGAAAATTTTAAATTATAAAAAATAATTAAATTAAAGATTAAAAATCAGTAGGCTAAAATAATTTAGAATATTAAAAATTTGATATTTTTTATTAAAATTCATTTTTAGTTTTTTAATTAAATACATTTTTTTAATTAAATTAATTCTTTAATATTAATAATAATAAAATATATCAAGTTTTAAATTTTTATAATTATTTTAATAAATTTATATAAAAAAAATTTAAGTTTTTAATTTTTATAATTAATTTAATATACTGATTAGAAATATTGTTTTTTGTTTATAAATTATTAGTTTAATATATGTAAAAAATATTATTTAATTGAAAAAATGTAGTTTTATATTTTAAAAATATTATGATTTCTGGCTTATTTTTTTTAATTTAAAATTAAATTTTAATTGTTCTTTTAACGTCGCCTGGTTTAATTGTTATTCAAATTTTTTAAAGGACTTAAAAGATTAAAATTCAAAAATAATTGAATGGAAATATAGAAAATCTACTTTTAATACAAATTTAAAAATCAAAAAAAAAATGTATAAGTCTATAGAAAACTAATTAAGTTAAAAAATTTAACAGAAATCCAAAAAAAATAAAAATATTTTTATTTTAAGTTAATAATATTCTCCGTTCTAGCCAGTAGAACTTTTGTAATTTTAAATGGTTTTCAGAGAATCAAATTAGGTGGGATATTTCGCTGTAAACAAATGTGTGGCGACTTTTTGTGGTATATTTATGTATACACATACAAATAGTTTTAAATCCTGTTACAGGATCTATTCTATATATAATAAATTATATTCTAAGCAAATTCACATACTGTTAATAAAACAGTTGGTGTAAAAAATTTAATATAACTTAAATAACTAAAAATAAATTAAAGGGAAAATCTTGAATACGATGTGCGCCTGCAACCGTTATACAACTATAATAAATTATATCTATGTATGCACTTACATTCTTTAATTTTTAAAGCACTAAAATTGCAACACATTTCTCTAAGGCAATGAGAAAAAAAATTAAAAATGGAGTTATAGAACAGAAATATTTGATTCAAAAAATCACTGGTTCTGGTAGTGTTTTTATTCCTTTTATTTAAGTTAAAAAAATTGGAAAATTATTATGTAATTCTCAAAATTTTCTAATATTTTCACACGTTACTATTTTTTAAATTAAAAATTATATATTTTAATTAAAGAAAGCAAAACAAAGTAGATACCAAAACTTAAAAATTAAAAAAATTTAAAAACTTCAAATATTAAAAATTTATTTTTATTAAAGTTTAACAAAAAAATAATGTGTTAATTATGTTCTGACGATAAAATCAAAAACATAATAAACTTAATGTCAGGAAAAAATATTTTGTTTGTTATAAGTCGCTTAAAAATTTTAAAAACTTAATAGAAAAAATAGCTATGTATATATAATATTAAAAATGAAATTGTTTAAAATTCGAAAAATATATATTATTGTATAATTTCAGAAAAAGATACCAAACATCAGAAAGCTTTTCAAATTTGATAACGCACTCATTGAGAGGAACCAGCTCTCATAAAAAATTCCCAAAAACAAAGTCAAAACAAAAAAATTTAATATATAAATTATTGTTGTATAGAACAAGAAATGTACCGAAACTTCGATAAACGTATAGATCAACACAAAACTAGCTGCCCAAGCCCATTTCACATTTTTTTGTTGAAAATGCCTTCAACTTTTTTTGAAATTTACTTGAATTTTAAAAGCTAATAATTTTTGTTTTGATTACATTTTTTTCTGCAAGCATGCATACAAACATTCATTTAATCAATTTATATACATTTTATATTTTATATGACATCAAACTATTATTTTTAATTTTTTTTATGTATTTCTAGAGTTTTATATTTTTCTTTTGTGCGTTTTTGCATATTTAGTCTTTTGTACTAAATAAGGATTCTTGAATTTCAAAAATGATAACTTTTTTCCCTTTTTTAAGTTTGAGGTGAAAATTATTCGCTTTTGAATTTCAATTTGAATGTTAATGCTAAATTTTTTTATAACTATTTTATAAAAATAAATTTAATATAAATTGAGCTGGAAGAATAAGAAAATAATTTTAAATCAAAATTATAAAATAGTGTTGTGGTTCAGAGACACACTACTTCAAAAGCATATTTTTACATGCATACTTTCAGGATGATTTGAACGATTTTGAAAAGAAAAAAAACAATAGTACACAATTATCGGTCAAATACGGTTCATATCTTTTAAAAATGGTTTTTATTATTATTAATAAAAAAAAATGTATTTAGTATTATAAAAAGGAAAAAAAATTTTTGGTCTTTCTAATTAGAAAAAAAATCAATTTTTGCATAAAAAGGATTTTAACGTCAAGAAATTTATTTTTATTTTATTATTATATTATAGTATTATAAAAATACTAAATAAAAGCCGGTATTAATTCGACCAGAAGTTTAGTGCTAAACATATGTGAAACTTTTTTTGGGTAGAAAATAGAGTAGCATTTAAATGTATGTGCCTGGGAGTGATACAACAATACCAAACAGTTATCATTTCTCTCAATCATTTCAGGAGACATATATTGTATTTTAAGATAGCGGACCTCGATTTATATTCAACCGTGGCAATAAAAATACCATTTCAATTGAGACAGTTTTCAGAGAATGCTATTGTTATTAGTCCCGAATTACGTTTTTGCTTTTGTTTTTGCAGCACAAAATGTTCCCCAGATACGGTTTCGGATACGTTTACTCAGCTTATTAAGGAACGAAATGCTTTTAATTGCAGTGTTATTCTGATGTGATATTAAGACATTGAACATCTTTTAATTCAATTATAAATAAAAAGGTTATTTGACAATAAATCTCACTAGGAGTTAAAACAAACAAAAAAAAAAAACAAATTATAAAAATAAATAAAACAAATTATAAAAAAAAAAATTAAAACGAATTATGAAAATAAATTAAAAACAAAACTTTTACAATTTTTTTTTTTTTTTTTAATTACAAACCAAAATTAAAACCTTAAAAACAAACAAATAATTGCTTCAAATTAAAAACTATTGAACTATTTTATACCAAATTTTTAATTTCTATATTAAAAAGATTATAAACATATAAATAAAAATCCTATAAAAATTATAAACGATAAATATATGGAGTATTTTTTAATAAAAATATAAGATATAATGACATGAATGAATTTTAAAGAAGCAAATAGTAACTAAAATATTGAAGAAATTATAACACAATTTTTTATTTCTGTATTAAATTTTTTTTATATAAAACGATGCTTCCATTGAATTTGAAATCTTGAAAATATTTAATTTTTATACTAAAATATTAAATAAAAAATATATTAAACATTTTTATTAAAAAAACACACATTACAAAATAATTTTAATATGGTTCTATTTAATAAAAAAAGTTTTTAATAATAAAATATTTTAATATTTGAAATTGAAAAGGTAAAATTTTTATAAAAATACTTAATATTTTATATATTTGAGAAAAATTATAGATAAAATTTTTTTTTTCTGAAAAATGAAGTTTTGAATTAATAGGTATTTTAGCATAATAATAATAAGGGATTTCCTCTTGGTCTTCTGGGAAACAAAAAGTGTTTTTTTTTTGTCAACATATGTACATATGTACATAAATTCATACATATGTACATACGTACAACAAATATTTCATTAAAAAATTTAATATTTTAATAAAAAAATACACATTAAGAAATATTTGTAGAGGTTCCAAATTAAAAAAAAACAACATCTTTCAATTAAAAAGTATTTTAATATGAATTCCTGCTTTGCTTGAATTGGAAATATTTCTTTCATCAATGTTTCATAAAAAAAATTAAAAACAGAAATGGAAAATATATTAAATTTATAGCAAAATTAATTTTAATCAAAAAATAATAATTCATATTAATTTTAATTGAATAATTTTTTATTTAATATTTTTATACACCTTAAAATATTTTAGGCTTTTCTAATTAAAAAAAAAAACAATTTTAACGTAGAGGAATATCTCATCCTCTCCTTAAATTAGAATAGTAAAAATCTTATTTTTTCATAAAAAATTACAGCAACGACAAAAATTTGACGTATTTCGTGGTTTTTTTTAATTGCTATAATTTTTATTAAAAATATAATTTTGTTAAATTAATTTAATTGAAAAAATATTTTGTATAATTATAAATTAATAAAAATTAAAAGAAAAACACAAAATACGTTAATTAAACAATTGTTTTAAAAATTATTTGAATTAATTAAAAATTAAAACAAAATTAACTTAATTAGAAATTAAAAAAAGTAAAAAGTTTTTTGCTTTTAATTCCTTCAAAAGCGAATAATTTTTATGCCATACACATACGAAAATACATGCATATATAGAAAATGCTTTTCTTACATTTTTTTATTTATGCATTTTCCTTTGCATATACAACCTTAAGCACTACACACAAAGTTTTCTTTTATAAATTTGGCAAATACTTTACTGTTACTATGGTCCACAATTTTAAATACACATAAGCGTTAGACTTTCAAAGTCATATGGAACGCAGTGGTTCTTAAAGGAAAGGTCTACATACACAATTTCATACGCAATTTTCACACTCTCATTTTCTATAGCAATAAACAGAGAAAATACTATACTTCATTTTTATATGTTGCATTTTTCTATCAGTTTCATTAACGTTTCTCATTTAGGCACATGTTTTTCATATTCAAGTTTCTTTTTTTTCATTTAAGTTGATTCAATTACATACTAACTTATGTATTATGCTATACTCTAGTCTAATTACTTAATTTAATGCACGTAAAATACATAAAATAGGGTTTTTTTATGGGCATAGTAAAAAAATACTAAAATGTTAGATACTATTAAATTTAAAACTGCACAATCGATTACTAAATTACTCTTATGCGTAGTATAATTACTAAAATATTTTAGTTTACGCTCTGTTTGCCATTCTTCGATATCTAACATTCACTAATTTAATGGTTTTTCTTTTAAATTTTTTATTTATTTTAAGCTGTCTTCGTTCTATATTCGGCATGTCGCGAATATTTTGTTGTTTGATACGCTTGCGGAAACTTGGTGGCACATTTCCGAAAAAAACTAACAGCAAAACATGGTCGCGCCGCCATTTTAAGCACAACCAATAGCTTTCGAAGCGGCTAAATCCATTGCACTTTGCCACTTGAGCAGCTGGCAATTTGTATGTGTTGATACCCTTGCTGCATTTTCGGGTTGTTGTTGTTGTTTCTCTTACTGCACGTACTATGCAACCACATTTGTCAATGCTCTCCACGCAATAATTCCATAAGCAAATTGAAATCACCGCCGTCCCGTGATTTAATGGTGAGCATTTCCTTGCCAAGCTGCAGTTTTGTGGAGAGAAGAGAGCGTAGTAGTTTTGGTAATTAAACTTTGCTTATGTACATATAAACTTTATTTGATTATATGGTATATTTTTGTTTACCTGGCAGGTCTTTTGTAGATCTGGTATGCGCAGCAGCAACTCGCCGAATTTCGACGGCGTATCTGGGTAGTGCGCAAGCGTGTAGGCCTGTAAGGCCTGCAGCGCCTTCTCCTGGCATTCGCGCACCTTGACGGGCTCATGCAATTCACTGGTGTCTGTGGGAGTAGAAAATGTTGTTGGAAATTATTTCGAAAATATGAAAGTAAAATATAAAAACTAAGTTTAGAAACAAAATATCGAACAAATAATAAAATATAGTATAAAAAACATGTTTATAAATTTATTATATATATACAGTAAAACCTGAGTACGAGAGAACTGGGTAAGCGAGAAAACTCTATAAGTGGGAATAATTCTCGGGTCCCGAACTTTGACCTCTCAAAAACGTCTATTAGTAAGAAACAAAAACCTCCATAAGTGACAGTCGTTTTTCCCACTCTGAGAAACTTCTATAAGCGAGAAAAAATAATGCTCCCTTGAACTCTCTCTTAACCAGGTTTGACTGTATGAAATGTATAAAAAATATTTTTATGAGGATAATATATTAGAAAATAAGACAAAAAAAGTACGTGTGGCACTCGGGGACTGCCGCGGTAAAGATATTGCAAATGATTTTGTGTCAACTTACGCAATTAGCGTGGTAGCCGATAAAAAAAAACACATTGTTTCTCTTATTGAATAAATGAGAAGTTAATATTGTTTACAACGGAACAAACGGCAACCAGTACATGAAAAATTCTGGAACCGGTAAATGGAACGTCTCGAAACTAAACACTACGAAACTAATCTCCACAATAGACGACCATAACCCATCTAGCAGCTCCCCCAAAATTGCAAGAAAAGTTGTCGAGCACACAATGCTTAATATAATAAGAGCCTGTCACAAATCGATGCCTAAGGCTTCCCACAGCAAACATAAAGCAGCAGTTTACGGGTGGAGGAGCCGCATCCCGAGAAGTCGAGCAATATCAAGCGGCGAAAAAGGAGTAGAAGCACGCCATCGGTGATAGCAAAAAAAAAATGGGAGGAACCACGCGAGGACGCCACCTGACTTAACCGCTTAAGAGCTGCAACTGGCCACTGGCCAGTACCTAATTGGCTACGCGGATGACATCGCAGCAGTAATTACAGCCCGAGATACAGAAGATGCGCGAAGGAAGCTAAACCAGGTCATGTAACGGACGCAAGCATGGTTTGACTCACACAATCTCCAGCTCGCTTCGGAGAAAACAGAGCTCCTACTGCTAACAAATAAGCACATACCTCTAGAAATAAGTATGCAAACGACTACGGATACCCTAAGGACACAAAAAGCGGTAAACTACCTAGGCGTAAGACTGGACCCCAGGTTAACTTTCGGGGTACAAATCCAGCACGCCGCAGGAAAGGCAGCGAAAATCACCTCCCAACTCAGCAGACTAATGGCCAACGTAGGGGGGTCCAGCCAAGAAAAGAGAAGGCTCCTAATGTCCACGACCATCAGCGTCCTATTATACGGAGCAGAGATTTGGGCAGATGTGTTAAAAAAGGAAAACCGGCGTAAGGTATTGGCAAGAGTATACCGCACCGCTACCCTCAGAGTTGCATCAGCTTACCGAACAGTGGCAGGTGATGCAATATTAGTTATAAGCGGTAATGCCCCAATTGACCTTCTGGCATACGAATGAAAAAATTTGTGGGAGCTAAAAAAAATGTCTGAATACAATAAGAGCGCATTAGAACAAATAAAGAAAGATACTTTATCAGCATCAGAGAGTCGCGGCAGATGGACGGCCAGACTTATAAGAGACCTACACTTATGGACAAGTCATAAATTCGGAGAAGTCGACTTCTACATAACACAGCTACTATCCGGTCATGGATACTTCAAAAAGTACTTCTACAGAATGGGGAAAGTCGAAGTGCCGTCACGCCTATACAAAGATGAGACTGCAGACGACGCTGAACACACATTTTTTAAATGTGAGCGAAGGCAAAGAGAACGCACCGCCGTAGAAGACCTGGTCGGTCCAATAAACGCGTACAACTTAATCAGCGTCATGGTGGAGAGCGAAGTTAACTGGGGTATTATCCAAAAATTCGCAGCAACTTTGCTATGGAGCAAAAGACGGGATATGGACGCAGGTACGCAGATGTAAATCTCTCAATGAGGAAAATGGAACGCCACCCTGAAGTAATGCAGACGCGGTTCCAGGGTGGGCGACGATTCCTTAGAGGGGGGTTGTTGTGACGACAGCACTGCACTGATGATGTGGAAGGCATTTTCCACCCCCTCACCCGCACAAAAAAAAAATATAAAAAAAAAGAACAAAAAAAAACATATTAAAAAAAAAATTGTATTATTCAATTCAAACAAGATACTGTTCTAAAAGTTGGAATAGCTATTTACCAAAATAATAGTAATGTACTAATATTATGACTCCGAATATTGAATCATTTATTTTAATTAAATTCGATATTTTTATTTGCCATACAATTTTTTTATCTTAATTATTATTATTTTTGAATCGCCTTGCTCTGTCTCTTCAATTGATTTGTTCCGCTTGAGATATGCGAAAATACGCCTTAAAGTATGCAAACATTTTGCGCATACTTTGTGATCATGTTAGGTTTATTTCCGTTCCGGAATTTTTTGATTCGGTCGCCGCGCTCAAAGCCCGCGATAAAAGCTATGCAATAGCTTAAAAATATATAAATTCTCAGTTAACGCTTAGATAAAAGAAAACTAACAAGATAGATGCTGATGTTCTTTTTGGAAGGGAAAAGTTTCAACCCCACAAACCCGAAAACACAGAAAAAGTGACAAAAATGGCAACATAGTTCTTGTCGATTTAAAATATTTTGCAATTCTAAAATATTTTTTCATGGCTCGCAAAATCTGCGTCAATATATATGCATGCATGATATCGTTCCGTTCCGACTAATTAGCAGCTTCTTAGGGAACAAAGGACAGTTGCTAAAATTCAGATCGATAGCTTAAAAACTCAGGGGCTAGTTCGTATATATATAGACAGACAGACGTACGGACGGACTGACGAACATGGTTAAATCAACTCAGCTCATCACGCTGTTCATTTATGTATATATTTAATAGGGTCTCCGACGTTTTCTTCTGGGTGTTACAAACTTCTTGGCAAATTTAAAATACCCCGTTCAGGGTATAAATATTAAAAAACAAAGGAATTAATTAAACAAAAAACAAAAAAAAAACAGAAAATCGTTAACTTCGGTTGTACCGAAGATGGAATACCCTTCATGAGTAAAGAAGTTTCCATACAATCACGTGATTCCGATCGTTCAGTTTGTATTGAAGCTAAATGCTATAGCGATCAGATCTGAACAATTTCTTCGGAGATTGCACCATTGTCCTAAACAACAACCCATGAAGATATCTCCTCAAATTAAAAAGCTTTTCGTACAAGCACTGAATTCCGATGGTTTATATGGCAGCTATATCCTTTAGTGTTCCGAAATCGGTGGTTCCAACAAATGAGCAGCTTCTTGGGGAAAAAATGACGTGTGCAAAATCGATATCACAAAAACTGAGCTACTAGTTCGCGTATACCATATACAGACAGACAGACGGACATGGCCAAATCGACTCAGCTCGTCATACAGATCATTTATATGTATTCTATAGGTTCTCCGACATTTCCTTCTGGGTGTTACAAACTTCGTGGCAAACTTAATATACTTTGTTCAAGGTATAAAATAAGAAAATGAAACTAACTTATCTTTTATAAAATTAATAAATCTACAAAAAGTTAAAACAAATTTAAAAAAAATCCGAAAATGAATAAAATTTCAAAAACAATTACCCGACTGTAGCAGCACAATCACTTTCATGGCAACATATTCATAGCGATCGACGCGCAAACGTCTCAAATTTTCTGTCATGTTCAACATGCGTTCAATGCAGGCCTATTTATGCGAAAAAAAATAATAAGAGAAAAAATTAGAAATTGCACAAGCCGCTTCACACTCAAACTGTATTTTTCTGACATTTCTTTGCTTGCTGCTCACCTGTAAGCCACTTGATTTCGCCTGCGCCAAGCTAATCTTCTTGCCTTGTGACATTTTGATTTCGCCGGGCGTATCGATCGAACGATAGCAGCACGAGAAGAGCAACAACTCACACCACGAATTGATGAGCAGGCAGATTTGATCGTCGATCTGCGTAATGAAAGAGAGAGTACATTATAGAAACATCCTTTAATATGTATTGAGTTTGCACCTACCGAAATATGCTTGAAGAGTGGCAAGCTCTTGCACCATTTTACGATCTTATACAGCCGATGATCGGCCACATTGCACAGGTGTGCAATCAGATCGGGATTGGTGTTTTCGCCATTGCCAAAACCTGCGCTGGCCAATAGTGGGTTTGTCATTTGTGGATTACCGGTTGCAGTACTACCTGCGGACGCTGTTGATGATGAAGACGAAGATGCATTGGAAGAAGATGAAGACGATGTTGAGATCGGTTGATTAAGACGTGCCAATTCCGCTTCATTATATTGCCACAAATGCTCAACATCCATGATTTCCTGGAAAAAGGAAATTTTTTTATTTAGTTTAAACTTATTTTCTAAATTTTCTTTATTTTAATTTAGTTTGAATTTGATTACTTGTTTTTGAACATTTTAAGTGATGATTATTTAATTTAGCTTAATTAACTTATAGTATAAATTTTGTATTGATTAATATCATAGTTACTGACTTAAGAACCTTTAATTTCGCTTCAATTAAAAAAAATGTATTCAATTTTGAAAATATTTTCTCAATTTTACGAAAAATCACATAATGATGAAAAGGTATTTCTACTTCATTTGAAAAAAGTATCCTTAATTTAGTCTAATTTAACATTAAATAAAAATTGCACTTTGATTTAATCAAAATTATTGGATCTATTGAAAAGACGCTAGCTGTGTTATTACTGTTAATGATATTTTTTTAGGAATATAATATAATTTAAGAATATTAAGCTAATTAAGCTAATTAAAGAGAAAGAGTTTGTAAACAACTATAGCGACTAGAAAGTCTAAAACAGAAGTTAGTTTTGTGCCTAAGACCAAATAGATTGCTCATACCTTACCATACTTTGGCAAACATGTATGTTTCAAAACGACCAAGAAGATATTTTAAAGACCGAAAGCTAAAACTGGCTCAAAATGATATTTCTGTAGACGACAGTCAAGATATGGGGATCTTATCCTACACAGTTCTGTACCCATTAAACCCTTGCTAAAGGATTTTCGTAGACCGTTACATAAGTTCTTCGATTGTAATCTCAAACATTTTATTTACTATTTTCGATAAGATCTTTCTCTATATTTGCTAGTTACCACCAACATAGAAAATATCGACTTATTTTCTCAGTGTAAGCATTCCTTAAATAACTTATGACTTAAGCTGAGCACAGTGAACCTAACCCACATCTCGTGTGTGGTACCTGATTAACATAAACAGTTCCAACTTGCTTAAAATTTGGCTTTTGATCGACAATCAGTGAATTGCAAAATACACACTTTCGAACAGTCGCGTCTCATTTGCTTATCAACAGTCTGTGAACCCTTTTCCGACTTGTTTCTTTGGAGAGATAGATGTGAGGCAAGGACGATACGGAACTAAAAGACTTGAACTTGCGGTTCAAGCGTTGTCCCACTTCTTTTCGGCTCAGGCCATGTGATACAGCAGAAAATCTAAAGAGTTTTCCACTACTATAAGTACAGTTATTTTGCTTAATTCTAATTTAAAACAGCCCATTCTTAAATTATCAAATTCACCTGCAACAGCGTTGGAATGTTTGTTGTACGCGCTGAGGCGCTACTTTCGTCGCATTGCTCCGACTTGATTATGGATTGTGCAGCGCCGAGACCCGCTGACAGCCCGTTCAACGTATGATGTTGTTGTTGTGCGCACATTGAATGAGCCATTTGCGCACCCAATCGCCCATGCTGTTGTTGTTGCTGATTAGCAGCAGCCGCTGCAGCTGCTGCAACCGCCGCCGCCACACCCTGCTGCTCCGGACTCATTAACGGACTCAGCATCGAGTTGGGCAGTGTATATGAGCACTGGTATGTAGAACGTCCGCCACGCGTACGATCCTCACGTATTGCCTCGAGCTTCATGCCCTTCTGCAGGCATTTCTCAAAACGACAGGCGGGACATTTTTTACGCGTCGAAATACTAACTGGACACGGACCGCCACGTACACACACATAGTTTTTTCGATTCTGTACGGTACGCTTAAAGAAGCCCTTACAAGATTCGCACGAGAAAATACCATAATGGAAGCCGGAGATTTTATCGCCACAAATCGGACACGGCGAATTGATGAGCTGCTGACGTGAAATACCAGCCGGTGAAGCTGGCAAACCTTCCAGACCGATATTCAGTGGTGAAACCTTTGTGTCCATGCTAAGATTTTGCGCTTCTGCACTGCAGTTACCGCCGGCATTACCGTTACCAGTCACACCACTGGCAGCGCTATCCGATACCGAGATGGGCCGATAGATCACCGAATGATGCAACGAACCATTGAAGTTGCCATAGAGTGCTGGCGCCGGTGGCGCATGTCTACCCTGTATGGGTGAATGTGTCGGGCTGAACTCTGAGCTGTAGGAGTAGCAAGAGCTATGCGATGCATCGCTATTGTTGCGACTGAGCGAAGGTGTGTAGGGCGCATGACGCGAGGTCAACGGTGACTGCGACGGTGAGCTGTGCGTATAGACGGAATGTATGGCAGAATCGGGGCTGGGATTGGCAGGCAGGGGCAATGTAGCAGACTTGTTGCGTGTCAAAAGCGGCGAATTAACATTAGCTCCAGTAGGCATTAAACCTGCAGCAGCAGCAGCATCGGGTTCATACTTCAAATTGATGGGATCACTTTGTGTGGGCGCCAGCTTTGTATGTGTGGCGGAATAAAGACTACCCGCGCTACTGCTGCTGCCTAAACCGCTGCGCAGTGTGGAACCCAGACCAGCTAATGCGCCACCATGCACTTCAACGGAAACCTGTTCCATTTGCTCGGGCTTTAGGGGATGCGTAGGCGTTGGCGCCAATGTGTGTCCTGGCGTTGTTGTGGTCGCCTCCTTCTTAATCACCGCCACACCTATGCTTGTTGCGTTGAAATTGTGTGTCGCCACGCCACTGTTACTCAAAGAGTTCTCCGTCTCCATGAGTTCCGTTTCAGTCGTCTCCGTTTCAGAGAGTTCACCCTCCCATGACATGGGTCGCGGCCCATTCTTATTGTGATTTCCATTGGCGTTACCGTTGCCGCCAATACTGACCACACCCCCCGTGCTCATTGTGCCACTGCTGCTGTCGGCATTGTTGTGCGCTCGTCGCGTCACTTTTAAATTTTCAATATTCGTCAACTCAGCTTCAGAATCAGAATCTTCTGCTTTCGTCACTGGTATGCGTATACCCAAGCCACCGCTGCTAGCACCGTTATAATAGCTAGCAGCGCCCGTTGTGGCGATGACAGGCACTATATTGTTGCCGTTGGGCATTAGTGTTGCCACAACACCCTCATCCATTTCGCATTTGATATTCGTAACGGAGATATTGTTGCGCGTTGTTGTTGTTGTGGTGGTTGTAGTTGTGCCATTCGTACTGTGTACGTTACTGCCATTCGTAGCAAGTTGTGCATGGTTATGCATATTCACGGGCAGCTGGAATGCACTCCCGGCCAGCGTTGAGCCAAATGCCGCCAATGTGGGATTGGCGCCAGCGGCGCTCTCTGCCTTAGTGGAGGACATTATTACTTATAATTAAAAATTGTGCGTTGTCTTTTACTTTTTGTGGAAAAATAAGTCGAGCTTATGCGCTAATCCGTTATTTTTGATTTTATAGACAGTTATTTGACTATGCTTTTTTATAAAATTCTTTCTTGTTTCAAGGTGTGCTCGTGCAATTTGTAGAAGTTCGATAGATGTCGTTGATGTAGTCCCATGTTGAATAAATATTCCCCTGGAAAAGAAAATTTTAATTATTAAAAATATAAACCGTTATTTTGTTTGTAAGAAATAGTTATGTTTAAGATACTAGAGCAAACTTGTGAGATCTTGTGTTAAAGACTCAATCACGAGACAGTAAAACTTTCATTCGTAGAGCTGAAATAATACGAAAGTCGGTCGTAGAGGTATCGGTCACTAGGCAGGAATTTTAGTACGATTTTTTGTGTTTATTACTTTCAAAGTTTCTCATAACGAGTCGTTTCAGTCGTTCGGAGGCCGCATATATATTAAAGGTCTTAACTTCTCTTATAGCAACAGGATCACTGCCATGTACGTTCAATTCTTCAGTTGTGAAATCGTATCTACTATTCCTGAGAGAGACCATCTTATTTTTTTAACAGCCATGCCAAAAAAAGACGATCTTTGATTATGTAATTTATGAAATTGCATCTAATAGAACGTTAAGACCCTTCTGTCTAAGGCTGCCATCAGAACCAGCGCATAGAATAAGAAAGTAGGTCCAGGATACTAAATCAATATCTGCCTTCATAATGTTTGCTGACCCTAGCTCATTATACCCGTATATTATACATGCTGTATCGTTAAAAATTTGGTGTTTACATTTCACAACAAATTTATGTGCAATGTTGCAACCTTAAAGCTTGGCATAATATAGGTGTTGCCAGAAATTAGCATCGCAAGAAATACTTTGAAAGATTTTTTAAACAGTAGATAAAAAACATAAAATATTAGTTTTTTCTTAAAGTATTATATTCATTAACTTATGCAGGATTATTTTGACCGTTAACAATTTAAATAAGGTCTCAAAGACCGTACGTTCTATAAAATTCCATATAAAGTATACGATTTTCGTAAAATCTTCTCCTCCTTAATTTTCCTTTTTATTAGTTTTAGCAAGTTGAACTGTGTTTTTAGCTTTGAAAGCAAAATCAATATTAAGAGGGCTTTCAAACGCAAGTCAGGCTTAGGTTAGATTGAATAACTGATCGTCAAAATGGGAATTGCACTTGGACCACTAAATATAGTCCTTTGTAAAACCAGAAAATAGAAATCTTGAAATCAGATCTTCAGCCTTGATGTCAATAAAAAGCTGCTTATCTTGCCACGGCACAAGAACATTGTAAACTTCCTTCATGGGAGTCGTCCATCCATACACCTCTGTTAGGGACGATAAAATCGAAACAATTAAAGAAACCGTGATTGAAAAGCGTCGTGTTGGCATCAGGGAGATTATAAAGGATCTGAACATCTCTTATGGATCGACTGAACACATTTTGGTTAATGTCAATGCTAGATTCGTACCAAAAAACCTGAACAAGTATGTACATATATGAAAATTCGGATTACGCGTTGGCAAGCTGGTATTGACTCACGAATCTATTTTGGATGAGGTTGTATTGAAATGCGTGAAAATGTAGTTTGTCTCAGTCCGGGTCAAATTTGATATGATATATTATAATATTTATCAGTTGGTATAATATGATATTAAGAAAACTTATTTCAGGGTAGTTGGTCAGGTTATAAAATCGCCCTTCTGGCTTACACATGGTTTTGAATGAATATAACATCATTCAAATGGCCTCCACTTCTTTTGCAGGAAACCCAACTCGATTAACCCAATTTTCGATTACATTTTCCACTAAATCAAGTCGTTTGTCATGAATATCACGTTCAATATTGACTTTTAAAGCTTGAAGAAAGTCTGGTTTATTGCTAAATACTTGTACCAATGACTTCAAATAACCCTACAAGAAGTAGTTTAATGGAGTTAAATCACCACTTCTTAGAGGCCACTGTCAAATTTTCTTCAAAGTAACGAATCTCCAACCTTTTCTCGCAATAATTCGGTTACAGATGTTGTCAAGACTTCTACCAATAACGGTACGATTGCGTATCATCGATCTATACCGCTCTCCATTGACAATAACGGTATCACCAGCTTCATTTTAAAACAAGTCCAAACTATCAATTTAGGAGAATGTAATTGTTGTTCATGAATAATTTGTGGATTTTCTTCGCATCAGAATCTACAGTTTTGTTTATTCACCGACCATAAAATGGCAAAGGCGCACGAAGAACGATTATTTTGATAATTAAATTTAATAATTTGTTAACGTTGTTCTTGCGTATATCTTTCCATTATGAAATTGTGAACAGTACAGAATACAATGGAAAACAAATCATGATATATTAAAAATGGCCGAAACGACACTTAGATCTCATATCATCCCTATTGGAAAACCCGATATTATATGGAACGAAAAATACAGAAACTCCCTGTAGTTGGTCCGAAAAATTAAGAATGTAAAGATATTGGTTGGAAATCTAGAATCACATTGTTTTGTGGATACAAATATAAAAATTTCAAGAGTTCTCAATATTATTTCTTTGCCTAAGATATCTTTATAATCGCAGACTCTACGCTCAAGTACCACATGTGTACATGAATATATACATATATTTTCTGGATTCCAAGAAATATAATTAAAAAGTAAACGAGTATTGACACTTCTGCGACGCTTTCACCACTTCGGTGGAGTTTTGACAAAAATTTCTCCAAACAAGACAGCGATAAGGTAAAAACAAAAACAAACAGCTAAATAGAGATTTGCGTTATGAATATTAGATTTGCTTAAAAAAGCGTTTTTTATGATTTTTCTTTATGTTTCTTCAAAGCTCGTCGCACATTGTTTTCAAAAGAAAGGTGGTTGGATGGCTGGGCGTCTGCTATCACGGCGGAGTCATCGCGCGGCTGAAATAAACGCGTTAAAAACACGCGTTGCGTTCGCACACTTTGCAATCAGAGCAAATATTGTTTTAAAAAAAATAACTAATGTTGGCAACAACAACAACAACAACACAAAGGTTGGTGAATAAATGACAAGCTGAAACTATTAAAAACTTGATGATTCTACAACATGGCACCAGAACCATAGCAATAACAACAACAGCAATAAGAAGAAGAAGAATATACTACAATAAGGCGATAAGAGCGTTGGCAACACAGCCGCAGGAGCAGTACCGAGCAGTTGAAAAAGTGTCAACGACCCAAAAGCAATATTTATAAGAGAACAGCAACAACAAAAATTACAATAACAACAAAAACAACTCTAACAAATTTAAAAAACGCATCAAATGGAAGCCAGCCACAGAACTGTGTACGTTCAGCCTGCGCTTCGTATATAAGCAATTTACAAATAAACAGGTGGAAGTGGTAAGATCAAAAACATACATACGTACATACAAAAGAAAACACATACGAAATGTGGCACAAGCAGGCCAAAAAAATTTTGTTTCAAATAAATTTAAGGTACATTAACCTTCAAAAACGCCAAGAAAGCGAACTACAACAAACGCATGAAGAAAGAAGAAGAAGAGAAGCAATATGCGAAGAAATGGATGGACATTGGATAAAGCAATAACCACGCGACAGTTGTTGGTTAAATAGTGGTGTGCTTAAAGAGTTCGTAAAAGATATTAATAAAGACAACTAATAAACCTTTTTTTAAAGGAGAAAGAATAAACAAGAATAAATAGAGCCCTCCTTCCGGAGAGTATAAAATTATTAAAAAACAATAAAAAAAAGTTATCTACCATACCCTTCAAAGGTGCATTTCTTATAGTATAAAAGGGTAAAAAAAATTTTGATTTTGATTTTGATAGACCAGTTTGTCTGACAGCTATTTGCTATAGTGATCCGATCTGAAAAAATTATTCGGAGATTGTTGCACTGTCTGGAACAATAATCCATGCCAAATTTCGGTAAGATAATTTATCAAATAAAAAGTTTCCATATAAGAACTTGATTTTGGTCCATTATTTTGTATAGGAGATATATGCTATAGCGATCCAATCTGAACAATTTGTTCGGAAATTGAAGCATTGCTTTGGGACAATAATCCATGCCGAATTTCGTGAAGATTCCTGGTAAAATCAAAAAGTTTTTCATACAAGGACTTGATTTTGTTCAATCAGTTTGCATGGCAGCTAATACAGTCAACCCTCTTATAACGCGGTACTCTCAGAACGCGGTTTCCATATTTGATGAATTGCTTCTTTGGGAGAAAAGGACATATGCAAATTATCAGATCATAATTATATTTTAGGAAACGTAAGTCTTAGGAAAAAAGTATTCAAACATTTTCATAGTAAATTTTATGATTTTAAATTTTTGATGTGTCGCTGAAAATCGCGAAAAAAGTGAAAAAAAATGTTACCTTTGCTCTCGAATAAACTCTTTTTCACATACCGAAACAATGAGAAGTTTTAGTATTTTATTTTTAATCATGTTTCATTTACATTCACTCACTTTCTACTGGTTGTAAGTTTATGTAGCTTGAATGTCTAGATCGACCACAACAAAAAACAAAAACAATATTGAGAAAATTTTAAAAAATGTATGGAATATGTATATCAAAACGCTCAAAAAAATTTCAAAATACTACTTTAAAAAATGTTAAAATACTAGAAAAAAATATACAAAAAATATATAAATTCTCTTTTAAGTAGACAATTGAATAAGTGCTGCAGATTAAAATCATAATAACCAACCAACGCTAATAGAAAAGCAAAATGATAAGGGTAAACAAAAAGCATAACAGAACAAATAAACACCAATAATTATGACTAAATAGTAAACTGTTGTCAAAAACTACAGCGAGCAGCTACAATAAGCAAATTAAGTCAACGAAACCAACACGACAACCAAAGAGTACACCAAACCACTGTCAGCTCACATAAATTCAACAAATTTGTTTCACACACAAAGCTGAAAAAAGTCAAATGCATGCTTATATGCATGCAGATTAAAGTATGGTTTAAAATAACTCATGGTTGGTTAGATGCGCGCTCAATGGATAATTTGGCAGACACATAACGTTGTTGATAACCACATAATGTCAACGAATTGATATTAGTGTGGTGAAAAACTAGTCTAATTTCTAATAATTATATGTGTAAAAAGTAATACATTTTTGACTCTTAAACAGAAAA